ACCTGATCCTTCACAGTATAGGAGATTGGTTGGGAGACTGCTTTATTTAACAATCACTCGACCAGATATTTGTTATTCTGTGAGTATTTTGGCTCAATTCATGCAAAATCCCAAGCAAGAACATTTTGAGGCAGCCATGAAGGTCCTCCGTTACATCAAGAGATCACCGGGGCAGGGGATTTTATTATCTTCTTCAAGCAAGTTGCAGCTGGTGGCATATTGCGATGCTGATTGGGCAGGTTGCCCTCGTACACAACGCTCCACCACAGGGTACTATATTTGCCTTGGGAGCTCTCCAGTCTCTTGGAAGTCAAAGAAGCAATCCATAGTTTCACGCTCCTCTGCTGAAGCAGAGTACAAGGCTATGGCTTCCACAGTAAGTGAGCTTACTTGGTTAAAATCTTTGCTTTACAATATCGGCATAAACCATTCAAGACCAATGACTCTCTTCTGTGACAATCAAGCTGCCCTACACATTGCAAACAATCCTGTATTCCATGAACGAACTAAACACATTGAAATAGATTGTCATTTTGTTCGAGAGCATATTCAGAAGAAGGAATTAATCACAGCTCATGTATCCTCTCGTCACCAACCGGCGGACCTTTTCACAAAAGCTTTGGGTCATGAGCGCCTTGCTTTTCTGCTATCCAAGTTGGGCATTCGAGATCTTCATGCACCAACTTGAGGGGGAGTATTGGAGAGTATCACGGAGTAGAATAAGGAAATCAGGAAATCAATTTCTGCACTATCACTGCAGAGTTATTTACAGAATGTATATATTTTTTTCCTTGTACAGTAGCGTCTTTCTAGGCTTCATTATTGGTACTAGTTTGTATATATGATTAGCATCCATAGTAATGAAATTCAAGCAATTAGCACAATTCGCTGCTTCATACTCTATTTTCTCAAGCTTGTAGTTCATTATTTTGGGTGCTTACTGCTTAGTATATGCGGGTGTAGGAGCCAAAGGCTGCTTGAGCACAATCAAGCTCAGATTCCAGGGAAGTAAGCAAGACTTGATTTCACCTATCATGGGTTTCGATTGTTCGGAAATAGGATTTTGAATTGAGTAGATTTGATGCCTTATTGTTTACTTCACCCATGATTATGATGATATATATTTTATGCGAAAGCCAAAAGGAATTCTATTTTTGGTTATTTGTCTAGTTGTTGTTCAATTCAATGTATGTTATAGAACCTATTTCTCTTTGTTTGTTTTAAGGTTAAAATGTCTAAAACTAGGACTTGTGTAATTAATTTGCAGAAAAGTATGTGAATTGAGTTTATTAGACAGTGGCAGTCAAGGTTCTACAGGGTCATTATCTAATTTAAATGGTTCAAAATTTTCTGTAGTGTGGTCTTGTGGACAACATTCCGAATCTTTGGACTCAACCAAGATACCTGAATCTATGAGCAGCAAGCAAAATGTGAGCACACACTCAATTTCTGATGGACTTAGTGAAGCAATGGATTGTTAGAGGAGCAAAAGAAGAGGATTAGGCTGTCACAAGTTGGTAGGAAAAAGGACTTTGTTCATATCGAGGGGATATAGGGGCAAAACATTAATGTGGTTCAAGGACTCGAGCTTCATATTGGGGTTTCAATGCTGAGGAGCAAAAGAAGATTGCAGAATGTATCTCTGATCCACAACGAATGGGCTGGAAAGGACAGCTTAGAGGTAAAGTCCATGTGAAGTCATAAACTTTTTATTTTATGCTTTGATTTGGAATATTGTTATCCATCCTAAATTGTGTTTTATTTACCCAAATTGGACGCTGTTCTTGCCAATGTCAGGCAGTATTAAGTGAACACATTATTGAATATGATTGATTTGTTTGATCAGATACCATCCTAATAAATTCAGCACTCTAACCATCAACACAAGGAGCATGCCATTGCAGCAAACTTGATGTTTAGGGAAATGGCTTTTTAGTAATGAGTACATTAATTAGTTTTAAGCTTATCACAAGAAAGTATAGAATAGAGATGATGTTGATTTATAGATTTGCAGTTGAAGTTCATTGAATTGCTTGAAAATTGTTC